GCAAGTTTTTGGAACTCTCTCCTCATCGACAGTTCTATAAATTAATTTTTAGTTTATAGAAAAAATTCTACTTACTTCTTTTTATAAGTTTTTAGTTTATAGAATCGAATTATACCTATTTCTTTGGAATGGGTGGTGGGAACATTCCCAGTACTTCAGTGATTATGAGCACGACCGTCAACATAATTTTCTCACCTCGCAGCAAGTCTACTTCATTTTCGTCTTGCAATCTGCTAGAACATCTAAATCGACTATTCTACAGACTTCTTTCCTGTTTTTATAATTGAGTATTATTATTTCTTTATTGACGGTTCGCATCAGTTGTTATTGGCGGCTTACACTGAAGCTGAAGTGACATACTGCTGCATTCTTGTCAGTGTTCAGTTTATTTTCAGTGACACTGTCGTCTGGATGGTACCAATGTCCCCCGCCCCAGTTCTTCCAGGCTTTTTCATAGGATCTCCAGAGCCGTTGCCATTACTCCCATAACGACTGGCACCACTGTTATATTCACGTTTTACATCATCTTCAACTCCCTGGCATGGCCACGATACCTATCCGTCTTTCCAATCTACTCAATGCTCTACTGGAATGGCGAAATCCATAAGATACCATATTTGATTCTTGATTTCTGCTACCAAATTCGGTCTTCTGGTTTGGGTTGTTGGTTGGTTCATTCATTTTCTACAGATTATCAAACTTTTGCAGGTTAGTTAAGGCCAGAAAACATTTTAGAGCATAAGAATTCTTTCAAAATAGTAATTGTTTAGTGATGCAAGTCTTACTAATTAACCCATAGCCGGAGGAGAGAATAGATATCTTCATAGCTCTCTCAAGAGTAAGTTAATATAATGAATCCAACGGGAATTCTGCTCCTCAACAATTCCTAGTCATTATCCATTACACCAGACGCACATACAAGCTTACAGAGCCTAGGTTGAGTGATGCTTTTAAATCTCAAAGTCCCAGAAGGGATTTTTATGTGTTTCTTTCTGGACGACTAATTCTAGTCTGTGTATATATATATATATATCATTGGTCGGCATAGTTTCTAGTGCAAAACCTTTTTTCGCATGGACACGACTGTTCGTGCATTATTTCTAATCCAACTTGTTGCATTCACTGCTTATAGGAGTCACTCGTTTTTTATCTCCACGCAATCGATATTTGCCGTTTCATCTACTTTGATTTTCATATATTTTGTTCTCATGACATTATTTTGAGCCGCTAGTAAGTTCATCCAGATGTCACTCTCAACGATCTCTCTACGTAGCCATATTCAGATCGATTTATTTGTCTTCTGAAACGTCCATATAAATGTTTTCTTCCTATATCCGAGTTCTAAGTTTTGCATTTCTTACATTTCTGTCCATTCTTCTGTAAATTTTAATACAGCTTTTGGCTGTACATTTTCTTTGCTTTTCTGTACATTTCAAATCTCTGAATGGCGGAAGTAACGCTTATGGGAGTTTAATTTAGAAATAATACCTGAGAGCTGTGATGGGGTTATGCACATGTCTTCCAGTGTGGATACTCTGAGTCGAGTGTTGAGTCGGAAGAGAATTTCCGAGCAAAGCATTCAAATTGATCTGCTGTCTTCGAATTGATTGAATAGAGGAGGGATTGAGGATTTGCTGTTGTTCAGCACACTCTTGAAGAGCTGGCAATAACCTCTAGAATCGAACTTGCCAGATGCTATACGTTGTTTCATTTTATCAGCAAACAGTAACTTCGCTTCTTTGAGAACACGGTTGTACTCATTACGAGCAGAGACAAAGAGACGTCTGTTGCAATCAGACATGTGGCTCCGGTACAGCCGGAAGAAGTGACGTATGTGGGCTATCGCGGCCGCGCATGCAAGTGAGAACCAAGGAGATGAATGCGGTTTAACTTGGTATTTTCTTCCTGGGAAGAAAAGCATTGATACCGGTTTTCACCAGGAAGAGACCTCAGATGCGTATTTTTGAACAGGATGATTAAAAAATGCATTCCAAGGGACGTCACGAATGAAATCACGGAACGAGTGGCGCACTTTGAACCGCGCACCAAACCGCACTTTGAAAACAGAAAGATATTCTGTTGGTAGAAGGTACTTGGCTGGTAGGAGAGCGGAATGAGATGCTTACAGACACTACCTCAGGATCAGAGTTGCCAAGAGGGCAGAGCTGCAAAGTATGAGTCAGAAATAAAGGTAAAAAAATGTTTATAGGCACACAATCTGAGGAATATATTAAGATAAAATTAAAAAATTATATCATTGGAGGCAGGGAAAATAAAATAAAATATTCGGGAATAGGATGGCATAGAAAAGTGATGGAAACAAAAAACAACAATGAACAAGTTAAATAAAAGAAACTTAGAAAAAATATAAAAATAAAAGTGTTCATTTCAACGATACCAACGATTGGCGGAAGTCATCCAGCGGGTGTTTTAAATGTTTCTTTTTACTTTCTCTAAAATAAAAGAACGAAAATGCATCTCATTATCTACTATTTTCACTTTTAAGGTAAAAGCATTAACAATCCACACACAAATCGTGTAGAAAATGCTTTGAAATTCCACCATTCAGAATATGTATATTTGTCGTAAATTTCAGTCACGTGTGAAGCGACATCTCCTATTAAAAAACCCCAATACTAATAGAAAACATTGTCACAGGAAAACACGTGGGGTAAAATGGGAGAGAGAGAGAGAAGGGAGAAGCGGTACCTTTGTCTGGAATAACACAGACGTTGCCGACTATTATTAATAAAAACAATAATAATAAAAATTGAAGATGATGTTAATGCGAGTTAGTCGAAAGAGTTTGCTCAGGTGATTAAGTCTCAGGTCATACATTTCATTTAGAAGATATTTGATCACTTTTTATTTTGATTAGACGAGCGAAGAAATTGAATAAATTTAGTTGTAAAATGCATTTTGATTCCATATGAAGTTACATGATAGCGACGACAGGAAATATATCTCAACACCTACATTTCGTTCTATTTGAATGCCTGATTATGTCATTAAAGGAATTATCAAATTATTGTAATTTTGGGAGGAGGTTGTCTTTCGTCTTTGATGTACGCAAAGTAGGATTGCAACCAAAAATCTGTCGTCATCAATATTCTTATTATTATTACTCATTGAGTTTTCATGTCACTAGTAACGAGTGTCGTACGCTGGAGAACAAGCGACAGCAACTATTCTAAATATCAACACTCTTCTCAGTATTTGTGCAGTTGTGACATTGTCTGGATAATCTTGGTAATTCTTCGGATTTTTCAATTCCTCCTCTTAACTTGCTTTTCGATATAATTCCATGTTTTAGTTTTCGTTATTGTGTTTTGGGGGTTACTATACGCTCTTTTGTTGTATTTAGTTCTATTTTTGTTTATCTGTTATTATTTTTAATGTTGTTTTTGTATTATAAAATATGTGAGCAATGAGGAAGTTTTAAGGAAAATAGGAACTACAAGAAAATGTATACTTGCAATCAGAAGAAGGTAGTTGACATTTCTGGAAGACATAATGAGGAAACAAAAATGACTGGCCAACTCCTATCCCCGTCTATTAGGTCAGCTAGCCAATCCCTCTTACAGACGCCTGCTCGGGTACATTTGTGTTTGTTCAACACAAAGTTTATACTGCAACTATTCTGAGTGGATCTTATCTAGCGTTATCAACTGTTTGAAGCACACTCAACCTCTCGGTCACAATTACTTGTGGCTTTGTGCATCGACGACTTCCTCAAAGAGTTCCGTCTGCCCAATTTCACTGACAAAGTCAACCCGTAGTGCCATCTCCAAGACTCCAGCTAATATCAAGAAGTTATCTTCCTGAAAAATCGACGATGGTGAGATTCGAACTGGCGTCTTATGGTCAGAAAGCGAACGTTCTAACCGTTCGGACACTTTCACAAGAAGAATGACGGACAGTTTAGAACTCACTAGTATTGAACTAGTGGATATTTTGCTGCCTGATTCAGAGACTGAACTCACAACTACCAAATGACAGCATTTAACCGTTCTGAATTGGTGTATCCTTGGAGTTTTTTTTATTCAGTGTCAGATGATTTCGACATTTGGTTTTCATGGCGGGTCCATACAGCTTTTGATAATTTTGGATTTCATTTTTGAGATGAGAAATTATCAGCGTTCTTTAATGGAAATATTGTTCTCTTCTTGATTATTATAGATGTTATAATAAATACAAAGTTTCAGTCAAGTATTATCTGGCCACGTTCAGGTGTCCATTACTTTTGGTTGATATGGGATATTGATTATTGTGCTCTTAAATTTAAATTCATTTAGTACTAGGGTAGGGCAGTTATATATATGAACAGCAGTCTCTTAACATGTGTGTGCATAAGCGACAATGAATCTACTCCATTCCTTAAAATATGTGCCTGATAAGATCTTCTTTGCAGACTGATCTTTGGCTGTTAGGATAAGTTCTTGTGTTTCTGGTTTCAATTCAGGGCTCAACAACAACTGACGGAATAAATCTTTGAAAATATCGGCTTTGTGCCTGTAATATCTATTGACCAGAGGTTTCCATCCCGATTAGTTCCATATTGGTTATGCGTTTAATTTTGCTATTTGCTTGATAAATTTTGCTTCCTTTTTTGATATTCCACTCTTTCCTTTTGGTTGTTTAGACGCATAACCTCAACGGATAAATATTTGTATAAGAAACTTATGCTATAAGGATATATATATATATATATATATATATATATATATATATATATATATATATATATATATTTGTTATGTTATATTATATTTGTATATATAACATATATAATACCATATAATATATATAATATATATATATATATATAACATATATATAATATATATAACATATAATATATATAACATATATATAATATATATAACATATATATATAACATATATATATAACATAATATATGATATATATAACATATATATAACATATATATAACATATATTATATTATGTTATATGTGTTATATTATGGGACATTCCAGAAAAATTAAACTCATAATTGAATTTACTATGTAATAATTGTGACCAGAAAGCGTTTCTTGTAGGAGTTGTAGAAAGAATAACAATGGTGTGTTTTAAATAAGCTTACTTTTACTATTTCCAGTAAGCAAAATACTCTGAGGTGTATTTCAAACAGAAATTATATTGATCAGAATCTATTTTTTTCAGTAAAATCGATAAAAATCGGCCATTTTGACAGATTTGTGAACAAAAGTTAATTCTCGGATTTAAAAATTTCGCAAAAATATATATTTCTGAAATGTTATTTGATAAAAATTAGGAAATTTAAAGTTAAATTAATTTGATTTGAAGCAAATATTACTTATGGCATAAAATGTTGTATACAAGCATTTCTTATCCACGGGGTATTTGTTTTTTACACATACAAAAACAAAATGAAATTCTTTTAACAATATTCGGGGTCGTCAAATTGTAATAAGCTTTACAATATATGATTAGTAAATATAGTTTTACTTAATAACAATATTTCCTAAAAGTTATCTCATTGAAACTGAATTTTAAATGATTTTAAAATTTTATAAATTATCAATTTAAAATTGTAAAAAGTGAAAATAAATCTTATAAAAAATGAATTTTTCATCGAAAATTTTTTTCTTCAGACAATATTGTCTTTAATATGTATTATTCATAAAAGCAAAAAAGTTTTCTCTAATTAAATAAAGTTTTAGTTTTATCGTTTTTTTTTAATTTTTAGATACAGAATAGATTTTCGGTAATACGGGGTCCGATTTTGCAAAAAGAAATCGGTGATTTAAATTCTTCAAAGAATTCTACTTTCAACTAATATAGTCACTAAAAATTATCACGTTGAATTTCTCAAGTTTTCATAAAATTGAATAAGATGGTGAAACACGTCTAAAAAATTTTTTTACGAAGATTTTCTAATAAAAACCTTTTAAAAAAGTAATTTCATTCATTTGTAAATAAGTCCTATAGATTTCATTAAAATCTGAAAATTATTTGATTTTTGGAAGAATTTCCAAATTAATGTGTCTGCCACCGCAAAAAAAAGTGGCTAAAATAATGCTATCCTAAAAGTTAGTACAAACGCTGACGCAAGAAAAACAAGATTTAATAAAAATTTCGAATGTTTCAAAAGAGTAAAAAATTTAATGAAATATTCAACAAAATACATTGATCCTTCCTGTCAATAATAACTTAAAGATTGTGAGGATAAAACTGTTTTCATTACGTTTGGAGCAAATTTTCCACCCAGTATGCTGACCTTTTTCTTTTCTGTGGAGATACAATACTATAATGAGGCTGAGAATGCGTTTACATAAAATGCATTCACTGATGCTTTCACTTGGCTTCAAGATCCGATTGGTGATGTTCGGATCGAATTCACTACCATGTGCTTACGGGAGTAGGCATGGCAGTCGTCGTCGCCGTCGCGGTAGTAGTAGTAGTAGTAGTAGTAGTAGTAGTAGTAGTAGAAGAAAAAAAGAAAGAAAGAAAGAAAGAAAGAAAGAAAGAAAAAGAAAGAAAGAAAGAAAATAAGCGGATGATGATGATTGGTGGTGGTGGTGGTGGTGGTGGTGATGATGATGATGATGGAGTTTTGAACTCGCGGCAGATTTTTTTTGTGTGTGTCCGGAGAAACGATATCCAAATGCCCGATGAATATTATTTTCGCTACTTATTTAACTTTCGACTGACAATTGTCTTACTTCAAAGATAACTGTCAGTCCAAAGTTAAATAAAAAGTGAAAATTATATTCAGGAAAAAATAAATAAATGGAAAAGGGTATTGAAAATAATGAAAACCCTTATTAAACCCTTTGAAATTCAAAAAAGAAAACTTATGAAATAAAATGAGAGAGAGGTTAAAGGGAAGATAAAGAAAACAAAGATGACGTGAAAGACAAAAATAGTCAGTGAAGAGAGAACAAAAAGAAGAGAGAGTGGCAGAAAATGGAAGTAAAGAGAGAAAATTAGTTAAGAGAGAAAGAAAACGTGTGAATTGAGAGAAAGTTGTCAAAAGAGAGAGAGAGGGGGAGAGAGAGAGGGGGAGAGAGAGAGAGAGTGAAGTGAAGAGATGTGAATAAAGTGGAGGAAAAAAATGAAGAGAAAAAAAAGAGTGGAGAAAGTGAAAGAAAATAAAGACAATTCAGTAAAGGAAGTGAAAGTGAATGAATAAAATTTAAAAAAATAATAATAATAAAAAGAGCGATAGAAAGAAAAATGTGAACAGACAACTAATTAAAACAAAAAAAAAAGAGACAATAAGGACGAAGAGCATGTCGGAAAGGAGAGTAAGGATAAAGAGGGAGAACAAAAAAGTAGATGTTTACAAAATGAAGCCAGTTCTGACACAGAGCTGCAATCTAAAAAATAGAAGCAAATTGGTAATACGAGAGAAGTCAAACACACAGCAGCCAGTGTCTGATTAAAGACACACGGAGAGAGAAAGAGAGAGAGAGAGAGAAAGAGAGAGAGAGACTTATCAAACTGTAGAGAAAAAAAGAAAAGAAATTTGAGATTAAAAACAATAAAAAAAAGCGAGTTGGAGAAATTCGCAAAGAAAGAAGGACATTTTCAATAGAAAACTATCATTTGAGAGTTGTGAGGAAAAGATGAAAATACAGGGTTATGCTACAGCAGGAGAGATAGTTACCCATTTACAACTACCTGGTAAGAAGATTGCTCAACTCTCGTCAAGAGAATAGGTTTTCTCACTCTATTCTACATGCGCTATGATATAGAAGAAAAATTTATATACAAATAGTATCGAATACGACTGTAAGGTAGTAGTGCTGGGTTAATGACACTCGTTATCTCGATGAATAGAGATAAACAGGGAAAGAAAGGCAGATAAATAAAATCGAATACAAGTTTCTGGTAAGAAACAAATACGGTGAAGAAAAGAGGCATAAGAAATAGCGAGAAATCGACAGAAAGGTCAATTTGAATAGCGATAAGGAGAAAGAGAGTAGAAGATGAAAAGAAAGAAAGAAAGAAAGAAAGAAAGAAAGAAAGAAAGAAGGGAAATAGAAAAACTAAAATAAGGAGAGAAAGATACATGAATCGGAGGAGAAAGAATGGTAAAAGGAACAGAAAGTATGCATTGTTTTCTAGTTTCGACCCCAGTCAGCCATTACCCAGACAGACAGAAGTGGATACTCCTTAAAAGGAAGTTTCACCATGGGAGGTGGAGTGGGTTAAGAAGGAGAAGGAGAAAAATGAAACTTGATGAAAACTTCAGAGAAGGGATTCTTGCCTAAAATTGGGAGTGAGTGTGTGTGTGTGTGCGTGTGTGTCAGAAATGGGGAATAGAAATAAAAAAGGAAGGTTTTATAAAGAAATTAATAGAAATCAACTGAGAAAGAAAAAAAATTAGAGAAAAGATGAATAAAGAAAAATAACTTAGATAGATAGATAGATAGATAGATAGATAGATAGATAGATAGATAGATAGATAGATAGATAGATTCGTTCGTAGCTTGATGAAAAAAAACAGTATTTATTTTACACAATATTTATTTTTTCAATATAATCTCCTTTGACAATGCACTCAATACAAGGTTTCTTCGTTAATCACACATTAATCAAACATTAATCAAACATTAATTGAGTATTATACCGTAAAAATTTCAGATCATATTTCATCTAAGAACTGTCATGTTACAAATTTAATGATGATTCCTTTTAGCTAATTAACTACCTCGAAACAGTGAGGTTTACCCTTTACAAGATCCGGAGGCCACTCGATGTAGAGATTTACGTTAGGAGGCAATTTATGCGCATAGTTGTGTATGTATATATATATATATATATATATATATATATATATACATGAGTGCGTAAGTGGGTGTGTATGCGCGTGTGTGTAGAGAAAAAAGACAGATAAACAGATACTTGGAGAAATGATAATTGAAACCTTAGATACATACCTACATACATACCTGCAACCATACATGCATACATACATATATGCATATATATATATATATATATATATATATATATATATATATATATATATATATATATATATATATATATATATATATGTTTGCGATGAACATACAGAGACAGATAAAGACCGAGGAGAGATGGAAATATGAAAATGAATAAAGTTAGCACACAAACACACACACACACACACACAGTGTGTGTGTTTGTGTGTGCGTATGTTGTAAGAAAGAGGATGTAGCGCCAAAGAAGGGAGGAAACTAACAAAAAAATAATAGAAGAATATAGGGAGGATCATCAGAGAGGAAAGAAGAAGAAAGAAAGAGTGACGAATCGGAAAGAAAAAGAAATAATGGAATAAAAAGAAATTTCAAAAGGGAAAAAACGAAGACAAGGAAGGGAAAGGGAGACCGAAAATCCGAGAACAAAAAGAAAGAAAGAAAGAAAGAAAGAAGAAAGAAAGAAAGGAATTTTTGGTTGCTCTTTTCTTTCATTTCGTCCTCTCTTTTTTCTTCCCTTTCTACTCACTTTCTTTTTCTCCCTTAACATCTCAGCTACATTCTTTCTCAACCCTCTTTTTCGCTTTCTTTTTTCCCTTCCCTTTTCATTTCATTCACTTTCTTCCAACCTTTTCTCTTTTCGTAAATCTTTAAGAAAATGCTAGACTGACCGAGCAAAGGAAGAGCTATTTGCCGTCGTGTCTATCTCGTTTTTTTTTTTTTGTTTTTTTTTTGTTTTGTTTTTTCTACAGGTATTCAAATGAAGTGATATAGGAGAGTCTATTCCATCGAAACTTTGCACCCTGAAACTCTAAACGGATAAAACGAGTCTAAAAGAGCGAACTTTGATATTTAAACGTAGTTCAACATTGATGAAAACGAGTCGAAAGTGTTTCCTTCTTTCGCTGTCGAAAAATATTTTTTAATGAAAAAAACCTACGAGATCTGCTGAAATTTTCTCGGCTCGGTAAAGTACCTCAAGCCGTGAACTTTTCAGCATCTCCATAGTTTTCTTTGACCATCTTGTCATTTTTCAGCCAACTCAACAAAGAGATTCCGTTGATATCACGATCACCAAAGTCAAACAATATCAAGCCTGTTCAGTACCTAGATGGGTGACCGCTTCAGTATACCAGGTTCTGTAAGCTTGGGTGTGCTCGTACTGTAATGGATAACGCTCGGGTTCGTTATATTCACTTACACGCAAATACCCTAAGGATCCACCTCTTCTCCTCCAAATATGGGTTAATTAGCAGGATTTGTGTCAGTAAATAATTACTATCACTTAAACATGCTTACAATCTAAAAATATTTTCTGGCTTTTAATAACCTGTAAAAGGTTAATAAGCCGTAAAAATCAATCAATCCTCAAAAAAAGAACTATGCAAAGAGCGAGGCTTCACTTATCGTCTGCCTAAGAGCTGTAATTGCATGCATATATATATATATATATATATATATATATATATATATATATATATATATATATATATATAATGGATATTTTTTAATTTTTATTACTTCAAACTTTATCTTTGGTGGATACCCGTATTTTAGTAGAACGTCGCGTTTTGTTTTTTTGGTTTTTTTAAACAGTGTTTATTTCGACAACTAGCCTGCGCATTCGAGAAAACGTTAAAAAAAATTGTGAATTCCGGTAGCATTCGAACCTGTCTACCTCTTCGTAGTAGGAACCACCTGGCGAGAGAGAGCCTCGAAGCCAAGTAATGTCCTACTTGCCTAAAATAAGTATAAAGAAGGTGATAATGCCACTAGGACGCATAGGGCTACTGGGAGTGAAAGAGAATGAGAAGACATTAATGAGAAATGAGGAAAAAGGACAAAAAGAACAGGATTCAGTAAGACAGAAAATGGCGATTGGCGTTGCATTTAAATTTTACAGACTGTAGTAGTATGAAGCAAGAAATCAGGCGAGAAGTACTAGAAAAGAAGCTATTTGAACAGAACAGATGGTTGCATCGAGCTAATGAAACAGTAAAATGGTAAGATCAAGTAGCACGCTTAAATTCATTCAAGCGCGGCACCAAGGCAGAAAGATCATCATAATAATTGCCATGAAAATATTTGTAAAAAAGGCAGAGGGAAGTCACATCACATCGATGAGAAAGTCATTAAAGTCGAGATGCCAGGTCAGGATCGATTACATTGCAGTCCCTTCGTTGAATTTTGTCAAGCACCAGACCAGATATGGCAGCAATATTCAATACTCGGACGAATGGTAAACTTACAAATGTGCAAGATGAATTCTGACGAGAAATATTATCTGACACGACACAGTGAAATAACTTTCCTACCGACCATTTGATTCAATATGATTACTCCACTTCATGATAGTTGTTGTATATATATATATATATATATATATATATATATATATATATATGCATGTTTCATTAAAACATTATATACGCACACACACGCACACACATATATATATATATATATATATATATATATATATATATATATATATATATATATATATATAATGCGATGGGCTACTCAAATGCATGGTGAATGGTTTTCTAGCTGTCAAAAAAGTTTGCTGTGTCTTGCCGGACATTTCTTACAACTCTCGAAATCACTCGACCAGTTAATTTAAATTCTACATATATATATGTGTGTGTGTGTGCGCGCGTGCGCATGTGTGTGTGTAACAACCCCAAGTGATGATAAGATAATCACTACCTGGTTTTTATATAAATAAAATCAAAAAACAAGTAAAAATCTATAAACAAGAAAAAAAATAAACAAGGAACAATTGTCTTCATTCCATTAACATGATAATTAAATTTAACTCCATAAAACTTAGTTTTCGAAGACTTAAGATCCACTGCATGTTTCCGTATAAAGTGTTTAGTCAATATATTAAAATTAACTTCTAGATAAGAAGACAGTGGTCGGTAAAAGACGCAATCGCACATGAAATTCTTTATTTTGAATGCCAGCAAAAAGAAGAAAAATACGAAATATGCTGAACGGTTAAGCATGTAATTATTGGCTTAATACAAAAATGACCAATGCTGTCTTTTGCATCGTGATAAGGAAGTTTCAGAAGTGTCTTCGGAGCGATTTATTGCTTGTAAATCCAAATGCAAGATGCCCATTCGACACTTTATTCATCATATTTAATCTGGAAAAAATGTGCTAGTCAATGTAGATGCAAGCACGTCTCGGAAATGGTTTTAAGAATTTTTTTTCTCTGTCAAAGAAAGTCAGCCGAACATCAAAAATGATGAACTGAATAAATATTTAAAGGAAACAGCCTGTAAACAACAATATAAACAATCTAAGGCGAATTTATCAACTCATTTAAATGATACTTTAGAATAAATCCGGGCAAGGAAGTTAACCGATGACTTTTTACATGACAACACTTACCTTCATATTGCAAATGCGACGCAGCAAATAATTCTGGAGTGGAATGGGAAATTCTTCTACAAGCAATTGTTTTATGCAAACCAGTCATCGTCAGAATATTCATTTTTCGCTCTTTCTCTAATCTGTAGTTTTGTTGATTTCACTCTACAGTGGAAATGTTGATTTATTGCTGTGTAATTACAACAATTTTGGTACAAGGTCGAAGGGGAAGTGGGGAGAGGCTGGACAACACTTACTATCCTAAACGTAGCTAATCAGATACACGACCCATTCGTCCATTACAATTTATTCATTCACCAAAAGAACATATCCGTTACCATTCAATCCGATATGTCCTACAACACCACATCTTCACAGGGAATCTACAAAAATCCCCATGGCATAAAAATTTCTTTATGTACAAATGTTCTTTTTTCTGATTTTTTTCTGTTGTTTACAAAAAATAAATCTCCTCTCCTTTATAGGGAGAAGTACACAAATGCATGCTGGGATTTTTTCCTAACCAATAAAATAGACCGGTTCTGGGTTTGACCGGAGACAGTCTCGGTCTCTCTTGTCTTGAAGTCAGAACGCTACACTCGCTTGTCCAAACTTACTTTTGTGTGTCGACACCAATTCTTTGTGAACTTTTTACCATATTACTGTTGCTTTGCCTTAGTACTGTAAATTTGCCTCGCATATATTTTTGGTTCGCTTTATACTATTTTT